GATTATTTTAATTTCTCATCTCAAACTAAGATTGTTTCCAGCTGCTATCATCAATATATCACAAAATTACGCATTTATTGTTCCAATACTTCATGCTCCTTTCATCATATCATTCCCATTTTGCTTTAAGGTGACTCTGGGCGGCTCTGCGATGCACTCTCGCTACCAGGCAATGGAGCGACTAACAGAAAATGAACTGCTCTTGAAGGATAGCCTTGTGGGTGGGCACCGATACAGTGGGTCTGCATCAGCTGCTGACCCCTTGGAACGGCATAGCTTCATACTTCCGAGTCATCAAGAAGACATTTCGTCTCTCTCCGGGGCTGGTGGAGGCAGTAACATTTCTTCAGGTGGGCAGTTTTTTAGGCGTTTTTTCAGCTTACGCCAAGCCCAACGGCGCAGTCACTCATTGCTAAGTGAACCTTTGTCGGCTGATAAGCATATCTGCAACCACGGGGCTACTCCAGGCAAGGCTGATAGGTGGGTTGGTTTGGGCCTCAACAGAGGACATTTCAGCCAACTACCCAACAGCCTGCATCAACACAACTCACAATTGAACTCACCGAATCATCGTGCCTACTATTTGACTGTGAGTGCGAATAGCCGCCCGCACAGTCAATGTAGGCCCAGGAGTCCCAGCAAATACTCTATCTCCGGGGAGGCGATTTGCAGTGGAAGTAAAAGGCCCTCAGGGCATTCAAATTTGGATAGCAGTGCTGATGCTGGTCTAGGCACTCCGAGCGCACACGGAGGCAACTTTAATGTTGGCGGAATTGAGGCTGGTTGTGATGGCCATGGTGCTATTGTTGGTCCTAACATCGCGTCAAGCCTAGGAAAGGGGCATCGCTACATTACTCGTCGACACGCAGCGCAAACAGTCGGCTCAGGTTCTGGCCGACGGAACCTGGCAATAGGAGAGACGATACAAGAGTCGGTGGAGGAACGCGACCACGTATCACAGAAGACCTCTGCTCCCAAGAACGCCATCTCGGAAGTGGCATCTTCCTTGCATAACACAAGGCAATCCCAAGATCCACAACAATTTAGGCAGCCTCAACAACAACAGCTACAACTGCCGATCTCTGTTTCGTCTACTTTATCTCCGAGTTTGCCGATTTGCACTATAGCAACTCTGTCTTCATTGGCCTCAGGCGATGATGATACGGATCGTGGTCGCAAACCATTCAATGCACCTTCTCTCCCCTTGGGCTCATCATCGGTTACATCCCCTGTGCACTCACCAGACACTCTCAAAATTCGCTTAACGGCTACAGGTCAGGAGTATCGAGAGACCAAAAAGCACTCAGATACAACACAACCGTGCGAAAATCTGATTGGATCCCGATTCAGTACGTTGTATTATTTTACTTTAAATGATTTAGATCACTTAGATATTTATATTGGCCATTTTTGGTCACCTTCACTTTAAATTGTATTGTACTAATATTTTAACTTTGATGGAATGAAACCTTTGCTTAGATTTTGTTTTATTTTTGATCCCTTATTCGGATTGAAGTAAAATAATCTTTCATACATCTTCTGCTAGCCCCGACAAGATAAATGTATCTGAACTTTTTCCTATGATTTGAAATAATCAAATCTTGTCCTCAATTCTTCTACCTGATCCATCAACTCCTGGTTTTCTTTTCGTATAAACAGGCAAGCAATCATTAACAATACATGTTTCTGATAGCTCAACATTTCGTGTCTACTCGATTATGATATTCCTATACCATCATAGTACTTTTTGCTGCGCAGAACAGCCTTGATTAAATAGCCATGAATTCAATTATTTCACCGAATTTATCACTCAATATGAATTAAAATAATTGTCTACCGGTTAGCAGGGAATTTTAAGTAGCTAAAATGAGTCTATATTCTGCATTGTTAGCTTTTGCCAACAAGAAACATAAATTCCTTAATTTTTCTGGATAGGCAGTTAATTATAGAACACTAAGTTACCATATTCGTAAGTAAGTAGGGTTTCGAGACTCTCATTACACTAAGTTACCATGACTGTATTTGTTTTTTTCTAGCCATAAAGCGCATGCAATTTAGTTATCTTAGGCTAGTTCCGATTTTAACTAATGAAATTTAAAAGTTTTTCTCCTGTGTAACTGTCATCAAAACTAATTCACCCAGCTCCTTTACTAGGCAGCTTCTCCGATGATCACCGGCGAACGTCAAGTAGCTGCATCGATTTAAGATCGAGAGACTGCTGTATCACTTATTAAGTGATAAGACAGACTTAACGTTATCATTTTATGCTTGAACTATATTTACTTATTAAGTTGAGCTTTGATATAATTATTTCCTGATCGTATCTATTTTTAGATTTATTATAAAAAAGATAACTTAATGAAGTTAATTTTTCGTTAATAAGCAGAATTTCGAGACATCTCACATAACTTATGCTAATTTGTTTAGGGTGATCTAGAAGTTTTCATCCAGCGCTGAATGTTTTCCCCGGAACTATCGATATCATAATGGAAAGGGATTTTTAATTTGTTTTATATAGGTAAATCTCTTTTCACATAAAATGAAGACGGATAACCATTCAAAAAGGCTTTTGTACTGTCACTGCTGTCTCGCTATTTATACAGCTTAGTTTTTATGCAACATAAATAATAAATAAACTGATTTTTGAAATTTATTCCGCTCATTTCGATTTAAAGTGACTGGTAGTTGAGTTTGCCCACAATGACATGGGTGAACTCTACGTTTCGATGAAATTTCACATAGCTTTGCTTCCCATAAGGGTTTCTCATCTAGGATCGAGAAGAGCCACTTTTAAGTGCTTCCTATGGCAAATACCATAATGTGATATGGGAAAAAACTTGGCCTTCCTTGAAATTCGCATCTGTACTGTGGACTCGTAGCAGCAGTAGCGTAGTGGGTAATATGTCAAGATTATACGGTGCACTACGGGGGTTCGAGTAACGCTGGGGGTGCTGATGAGACCTAGACAAGGTCGAAACCATGCTCCAGCCCAGCCTAGATGATAATACCTTTTGGAAGGCTTTGAAATTAATTGGAAACTTAAAGGCTTTGTGGGAAAATTCAATTATCATTCCTTCATCAGCTTAGAACGAAATAGGATAAATTAATCTCATATATATGAACTACTGATGATTTTAAAGACCTACTTGCGTCGGAGCAACCCTCACATGCTTTTGAAATTTTTCGTGAGATCTTTTGATTACAAATTATACTCATAGTTGTCTTACAGTCGCACTCGGCAAGAATTAAGACAATATCATCTTGAAATTCACCCATTAGCAAGGTAAACATTTTCCATATACTTAACTATAAATAATACGTCTTAATTGAGCTGGTGACTAAATTTATAATTCAGAATCTACTCAGTTTGGCAATATGATCCTTATATTTTTTATATTTCCGCATGCCTGCAGGGCTTAGAAAGAATTCGGTTGCAGAATTTTTCGTTTGACTGTCAATCTCGAGCATGACAGGATAGATCTGCTACGCTTCATTACAAGATTCTTTTACGAGTCGAAAGCAACGTCCAACAAATGAAGGATTTACGCATTACCTTAGTGACGCCTCGCCATATGAGCAATTTGAATCTTCTTTGGACCCCACAGAGTCATGATAGATTTTACTAATTTTACATGTAGATAAGACTAATGCTTTTAGGTTATTTTTATTTTTCTATTTTAGTTGTCGAACCAACCCCCAAAGCCGATATGCGTTCTTCTTTTTACCGAAATCGTGAGTTATATTCTTTTTTCTAGTTTATCACCTAGTCCTATGATTAATTTGGAGATGATTCACATCTACAAGGACTCAATTTTATACATGCTATATTAACTTATTATGAATAAAGCGGCTGAGCCTAAAAGTCACTAGTCAAATATTTCAGGCTGGAAATTTAAGATGTCATCTTCTTCCAAGTCACTCTGTTTCTCTGTTACTTTTCCTTGTTGAAGTTATTCATCGAGAAGTGCTTATTCCTCAGCTCTAGATAGTTTTGCACGGTTCACTTTTTTTATTGGGCAGATCACACGCATATGAAAGTATTTTCATGGGTATAATTCATAATGAGATTCTATGGCATTTAAAGGGTCTTTAAAGTACTTTTCGCACTAGCATTTTGACAAACAATAGTTTCCAAAATGTCAAGTATCTAGTTATTTTGTTTTGCCATTACTGATAGTATGGAATTGAAATGGTCACTAGGTCAGCGGTGGGATTATACGACAATTATAGCTAAAATACAGAATTGCTTCTAAAGCAATTTACTAATTTTACCATCACATTTATTCTAAGCCAAACCCAAAAGCGCCTTGAATGTGACTACTGTGGGAAAGTTCCAAGTGGCTCCAGTAGAATCACCGCCCGACAGGCTTAGCCCGATTGAGCGAGGGGCCTGGATACGCCCATCTGCTTCAAGCTCACAGCTCACACCGTCTACCAGCAGCGGCAAGGACGGCCTTTGTGCACGCAACGCCTTTGGATACCATAATCCTCCACCTGAGACTAGGACAACCCCTGCCTCTAGACCAACACCAACGAGATCCAGCGAGTTAGTCGCCGAGGTTGAGCAAATATTCCCCGGTGGCGCACAAGACACCACTGTATTCAAAACCGAATAGTAAACTCACTTCAATTCAGCTAACATTGCAAATTTTCAGACAATCTCTCGTACTACCAATCCCCTTCCCTATAATATGCAACTCATTTCATTATCCTTCTATTTCCTCTGCATATTCCCTCGTAATTATGTCCGCATTTAGCGAAGAAAGAGTATTTCGGATACTTTTTAATATACATTAATAGGATCACATCTAAACTAAACTTCCCACTATCTATACACAAACGTAAGGCCTCAATAGAAACATGCCATCCTGTACTGTTGAATATCCTTAAATAAAGGCAAAGTAGATAGATAATAAATAGGTGGTTTAGCAGAGGTAGGCATGAGGGTATGGAGATGGAGTCATTTAAAGTAATCAAGAATTCTATTGATTTAGAGGACCGCATAATGTTGAAATCATCCGATGGAGTTATCATTGTGCCAGTTTACTTAGAATCTCCATAAGCGCCAGCAAATACTGCAAAAATTGGACTGGTTCCAAAACACTTTCATCTTATCTGTCCATCCATATTTCCCTCTCTTTCATACTAATAAAGCGCCACTTGTCTCGGGCTTCTCTGCTTGGAAGCACCCCTATATAATAGCCTTATATAGTTTTCAGCATCAACACTATGTTGACGCACCTCGCCGCTCGAGCTTCATTACCTTGGCCGTCTATTTCGAACATTTTCTCTCATAAAGAAAGAAGCACAGTAGTGGAGGACATTTGTTTGACTTCCGAATTTTTTATTTTCCCTATTCTATTTTGATATTCTTGACGATTTTCTACGCAAACTCACCAATATTTGTAGTTTATAATATTTTTATAAGTATATTGCCTTTATGAAACTTTTTAGAAGAAAAAATTAAATAATATTTTATCCACAAATTTGTCTTCAATTTAAATAAAACTAATCATCAAATCCAATTAAATTCAGCAATCATAGCCAAGTGATCGCTGGGATACAGTTGATTCGGAAGGGCGTACTGATTTTCTTCAGAAATAGGATCCAGAGGGAGCGTTAACTGGATGCAACTGTCTTGCTTAGATCTCTTAGTTCGCGGATCTGATGGCATGCCAGGCTAGGTTTCAATGAAAAAAATTATAGAAAGTTAAACTTTATGGACGATGTCAAAAGGACGGATGAGTCTCACTCAAAGTTGGGTGAGAACGCGCTTAGCGTTTTAGACAGAATAAAGTTAATTTCAGCAACATTTCGTAGAAGAGTGGATCCTAGGTGCTCTTCTCCATCGAGCAC